TTCAGTCCTTTTGGCCGGCCGGCGCTGACGTGGTCGCCGGCCGGCTGACGTGGTCGCCGGCTGGCTGACGTGGCGCCAGCCGGCGTCCACGTGGCAATATTTTAATATTTTTTTATTATTTTCAAAAAAAAAATTTCCTTTTCCTTCTCCCCCCTGGCCTGTCCGACCAGGGGGGAGGCTTGCCGGCGAGGGCCCAGCTCCGGCGAGGCAAGCTGGGACCTCACCGCCGCTGGGTGAGCTCTGCCTCGTCAGATCTGGGCGAGGGCGGAGCTCGCCCAACCAAGGCGAGCTCCGCCTCGCTGGAGCTGGGCGAGCTCGCCCGGCGGCGAGGGCCCAGCTCGCCATGGCTGGGCGTGCTCCGCCCTCGCCGCCACTAGGCAAGCCTCGCCGGATCTAGGCGAGGCGGAGCCGGCCTTGGCCGGGCGAGCTCCGCCTCGCCGCCACTAGGCAAGCCTCGCCAGATCTAGGCGAGGCGAAGCTGGCCTTGGCTGGGCGAGCTCCGCCCTCGCCCAGATCTGGCGAGGCGGAGCTCGCCATGGCGCAGGCGAGCTCCGCCTCGCCGGAGCCGGGCAAGGCTCGCCCGGCGGCGGCGAGGCCCGGCTTGCCATGGTTGGGCGAGCCGGGCCCTCGCCGCCGTTGGGCGAGCCTCGCCCTCGCCCGGCCGGCGGCGGGGCCCGGCTCGCCTTGTCGGAGCTGGGCCCTCGCCGGCGAGCCTCCCCCCTGGCCTGTCCGGCCAGGGGGGAGAAGGAAAAGGAAAAAAAAATTCGAAAATAATAAAAAAAAATTAAAATATTGCCACGTGGACACCGGCCGGCGCCACGTCAGCCGGTCGGCGGCCACATCAGCGCCGGCCGGCTAAAAGGACTGAATTGGCTGATTTGCAAAAGGTTTAGGACTTAATTGATAAAAAAAATAAAAAGGTTTAGGACTGAATTGGCACATTTGCAAAAGGTTTAAGACTTTTTTGGTAATTTTCCCCTGACCATGTGTAGCTCACATATCATATAAATAGTGCATCTCTCTAGAAAATTTAAATCAAGTTTTTCTTTCAAAACTATGGAAAGAAGTACGCATAATCTTCTGTGGAGAACAAACTATACTTTAATTTCTCTACTTAAACCCGTTCGCTTTGTCCCCATAAGTCTCTGCCGAATAGTCAAACGGGTTTAGTTGGTGAGAAAAGAGAAGTGTGGTACGAAAGGACCAGGGATCCAATTTCAACATTTCAACAAGGGATACAATTTCAAAGGACGAAATAAATAATATTATCTCTAGAACGTCGCAAGTCGATTATAATCGAGAATGAAGCCCTAGATGCTAATCAATCAAGCAATAAAGGAGGAAAAGCAGGCGTGGATTGCATGACAGAAACTTGTCTTTCACGTGGACTAATCCACTATAAATTCACTCCTTCCTTATCGAGATTCACTCCAATGCATTGAGATTCGCTCTACTTCTGCACCGCCGAGCCCCTCCACTCTCTACAAATATATACATATCCCAAAATGCCTATCGTTGTAGATCGCGATCAATGGACAAATTTCCATGCCATTCTCGCCTTCATCGTTCCGGTTCTTGTCAGCTTCATTACAATGAAGTACCAACAAAACCCCAATTCTCCATTTGACACTCACCCGATCACCATATTTCTGTCCATCTTCTCTCTCCTTCTCTATTGCTTCTTGTCCCTTCCGCTAGTTGCTCAGCTACCGGCCTTTTATACTGCTCGCGGTACTCGCACCTTTCGCTTCATAATCATCCTTTCCTTTTCCCTCTCTATAGCCTTGCTTACATCTTTATTGTTTCGAGGCCTCTATTTCTTTCTCCTCTTTCTGCCATTGTTGATACTGCTGACAGCCACTTACTTACCTGTTCTCCTTCTGAAACTCTTCCGTTTGGTGAAGCAAAAGATTCCGATAGTCGTCATCCATTTGTTTCGTCATCAACTGCACGGAGGAAGAGCTCCACTAATTCTGCCACGTACGATTGCTGATACACATTCCATGTCAGAAGTTTAATGCCTGCCGGTACTCAACATGTCATTCGTAAGTAGCAAAAGAAGAAACAAAGACAACAATAGGCTGGGGAATTACTACATGTATGAGGTGTTCAGTTAGATTTCCATGCTTTCTATAGCTGTTAGTCTACTGGAATTTTATGATTCCTCTAGGCCAGTGCGTTGTTTGTTACAATTCCTACGTGTCATGATTTTTCCAAAAAGAATCATATACGGAAGAGAGATTTTTCTTTTTCAGCAATGTTGAATCCGGTCCATTAGAAATTTCATAGACGATATATGATGATACTCGATAACCGTGTCATTTCAAGTGTATGGAAGAGACACGGGCATATGATGGATTATGCTACTTACACCATGTTCATTTTCTTCTTCACTAAGGCTCCATCATTTTCAAGGAAAATGGTCCCTTATTGCCACAAGGGAAGTTGTTTTTCCCCAATCTAAATTTGTTGTTTTCAGTTCATGAAAACATTTTCCGTAAATCAATTAGTTTTCCGTCATCAAAAGATCGAAAAGTCGGAAAATAAATTTTCGGAAATAGTTTTCTTTCAAACGAACAGATCCTAAGTTTGAAAGGTTCGGTTCATCTTATTTTACACCAAATAATACCATCCAAATAGAAAATTGACCGCTTGGGAAGCTGCCTTGAATCTGCTCTGTTTCCAAGTTTGCACCATCCAGTGGGTGACTTTGGTTATCCCATTTTTCGATTATAAGTAAAATAGTTTTATAATATTTTTTTTGTTTTTTCAATTGAATCAATCACTGGCGAATATGTTGTGTTCATTTCGAAACTTGATAGCTGGATTTAGACATTTCTAAACAAATGTCAATTTTATAAATTCCGAAACTTTAGGCAATTTTCAATCATGTCCTGAAAATTGAAAGAGAAAAATTCCCCAAAGAAGCACACTATCTTTCTGAAGAGACCTTTGGATCTGGACGTGTTTGACACTGACGTCCGCTGCCCAGAACATTGGGTTGTAAGAATTTAACTTTCTGCCTACCGAAAAGGGTGGAACATTCAATGATAACGCCTTCTCTTTTTGATAAAGTATGTTACTCTTTTTTATTAACAATGTATACTCTTTATGATAATAGTTTTTAACACCGAGTATGCACGAATCCAAGTATTAATGGTGGTTGGTGCATTTATAAAATGAAATAGTAGATGCTTGGATTCACATTGGTCTTGCCCAAATGATTCTTTTGCACGCACGATTTTTCAAACCTATGATATTTCAGATTTTTATAAGTCGAAAACAAAACAGGGAAGGATTTGAAAAGATGGTCAACTCAAAGAAATAAAGAAAGCAGAATGGCAAAGCTCGAGGAAGCAGGGCGACGCCCCACCTCCCTTTGCCAGCGGCCTTCACCGAGATTTCTTTGGAGTTGTCACATAAGCGAACGCTATCATCCACGATGCTTCCACCGCCTTCGACGTCCTTTACTGCCAACAAGGTGGTTTTGATGCCGTTCCGTGCATCTCCTAGACCTCAATGAAGCCATCATCACTCGCATTGCATCTCCGATTGGAGTGCCTACTGAGGATCGCTCATTTTCGACGACCCTTTAATTTCGGAGTTTGTGTTCTGTTTTTTTTATTTTTCTTAAAAAGTATGCTTCCTCCTCTAAAAAGCTAAACAAATTGATCTTAAAGAAGATCGTCTCTGTAATGGCGCCTTAGCAAAACCCGCCAAAACTGAGTGCAAGCCTGCCACCACCCGTGAGGGCGCTCGCCTTCGCCCAAATCTGAGCAAGGGCTGCCCCCTATCTCTCTAAAAAGTTAATTCTTACCTATTCTCATTTTTTTTTAATATTTGTAAGTTCCAGTTCTCTTTATTTTTTACAATTTTCATTGGCGTGCCAATGATATGTATGGTCTCGTCAACAAACAGATGTCCCATGGCCGGGTAGGATTGCCTCGTCAGACGTCAATCGGATCGAATTAGCTTAAAAGACTACATTGGTTTTAGAGAAAGAGTACAAGGACCAAATTGACCAAAATTAAAATTCAAGGACAAAATTCAATATCGAATAAATATGCAGATAATAATCATGACATTTTCGCAAATTTCAAAAATTGAAAAAACAATTACTTTTGGCCCTTTTTTAGCCAAAATAAATTAACCGACTTAATCTTGTTATAACAGGACGGATCCAAGCATTCAGATCCTCGAAATTTTGCTAGTAATCGGGCAAGCGTGCCAAGGAATACATTCCAAGGATACTTTGGGTAAGGATTGGTTTTTGTGAACTTTTCGGTGAAGAAAATAGACATATAAAAAAAATTGAATTGTTTGACCAATAGATGTCTTTCACATTGAATAACTTTTTAAAAATTTCCATGGCAGTTCCTAAATAGAGTCGAAATTAAGTTAAGGATCGACAATTATAAAAATAAGGACCTCCATTCATAAAATTTGTGAAACATGTCAACCGATCCGTAGGATGGGGCGAATTATAGTAATTTGTTCTGATCCAAGACATAAACAAATGGAAGGATAATGTTTTGAAAGGGGGCTCTGAGAATCAACTACCTTGCCAAGCAATACATACAAGGGATGACAAACCTTTTTGATTTTTAATTTTTGTTACCAAATTCAATTCATAATTTTTGTTATCAAATCTCTTGCATTCTGTACCGAAGATAACGTCTATTTTTGTCATGATTAACGGGATTCATAATTTTTGTTTATGGCACATGATAAGTGTGCCATCCCATTCGGCAAAACTTCTTTTCTTTACTACATAGGCAATAAGAACAATCTACCATTTGCAAACACATTATTAGTATTACCCCATCAAGGAGCAGTGCATTTCTACAAGCCAACTCATCAGCTGTTTGTACAATTTAAGCAAGATAATCGCGGGTGAACATAGGAGAATTTCAAGTTGCTAAAATCTGTTTTGCATTGGTAGGTAAGAACTTGTGAAAGAGTGATACTGGTAGGCAAAAGAATTGGATGAACACCAAACATTGGCCTATCAGAAACTTCAATAATCTATTTCTTCAAAATCTCAAAGAACACTAACCTGTCTCATAAATTCTAATATGCATCATGTTATATCCCAGAGATAAAGAAAAGGGTAGTTTACCAATGCAGGACATAAAACAACCATTGCTATATAGCTGAAAATGCAGGGGGGCCTAAGACACTTATGTATTTGTCGCCCTGGTGTAGATCTGCTGGCTTGCATGAGCAGAGACCATCCTGATCAATCCTCTGGCCATGAGTTCTCTTATTGCCTTCCGAGCAAGTGATCCATTAACCTGCACAAGAAAATTTTTATAAATAACCGAGAGATAACTAATTAGTAGAAAGAGGAGCTCAACCAGCAAGATCCTCTCATCAATGAGAACATGAATATGTTAGCGATAACACGTTGAAGTATCTAATCGTTCTATGCAAAACACTGGACATGAAAAACCCATAAGTCCAAATGCAACAGAACCACCAGAACATGTTAAATTAAGGCAAGTAAGTTAAATGTTGTCATCTAACTCAATCACACGTAAGCACCACAAACAATCATTTAAAAATGCAGCAAAGACTAAATTCATGAGAATTTTTTGTTCTAAATTATTAAAATTCAATGTAAAGGATGGTGAGTACTAACCACTTGGAAAATATGACAGCTTAGAGGATCCAGAAGAGAATGGTTTATAGTATAAATCTCAGAAAGTGAATTTCATTCTCCAACAGAGGCTGACTTATCCACATTAGCAGAAATATGTCCAGCCACCACAAAATTTGCTGATGAAGAATGCGTGCTCTTAAGGCCAAGAAAAATAACAATTTGTTCCACACAGGAAACGAGCCAACGGCGAGTTCTAATTATATCATCATTTGCAAGGAAACTTTCCACACTCAGATCCTCCTAACTAGATATACCTAATGAAACCGTGCAAATGAATTTTATGTGAAGGAACTATACTTGAAAACTCCACCATCTACAAAACTAATAAGTTGAGGCACTTCTGAGAATTAACAGAGCAACATCCTGCTGAAATCATCCTATCAGTTACATACATAAATACATAATTCACCTAAGTGCATCCATAAAAGGTTCCATAATAACATGTCCAGACAGGTTCAAGTGTGAACATAGCAATTACCATCTCAGTAAATAAGAAACAACTAGACGACTGATCTTGTACACAGAAAAGGGAGAAAAAGTAGACGCCCAAACCAAGACAGAGACAATTATAAATACTAAGTAGATTAACACAAGGGCATACCCTTAGGCGATCAGAGAGGATGGACGGGGTGATGAGCTTATACTTGGGCGCCTCGGTCAGAAGCTTGTCATAAGTCCCCTGGTCAAACAGCACCATGTTGTTCACCTTCTCCTTCTGCTTTCCCTTGCTCCATTTCTGCACACCATCACACAATCTACCCCCATCACAACCCAACCAAACCGACGTAAACAACAAATAACAGCAGCACGAACATATATTCCCATCTCATTTTTGCCTATAACAGCAGCATGAACTTAAGACCCACATAGCCAATTAGTCGCTCCCCCAAGTACCCAACAAAAAACGCACGCGTGTAGCGGAAAAATTTGAAAACTTGCGAGGGCCATCGTAGCCGAACACGAAAGATCTGCCATCCCCACTTCACTCCGCGTAACATCATTGAAAAAAACATCCTCAATAACTACAAAAGGAACCGCAAGTCGTCCCGGTACCTTCAACAGCTCAACATGAGTGACAGAGAGAGAGAGAGAGAGAGAGACGGAGAGAGTGTGCCATACCTTCTTCTTCTGCTTTCCACCGCCGGATTTCGCGGGCTTGGACGACGGAGGCGGGGCCTTGTCCTTCTTCGGCGCCTACGAGCCACGACCCACGAAAGATCGAATGTCACAGAGAGAGAGAGAGAGAGAGACAGAGAGACAGAGAGAGAAACGCAGACGAAGAAGAAGATTACGAGGAGACTTACCATGGGGATCGAGCGGCTAGCTTCGCGGTCGGGGAGGGAGACGGAGGCAGCGAAAGCACCAGAGACTCAGAGAGAGAGAGAAGGGGACGCGATTTGCTCGATTTTTTAGGATTAGGGTTTTTGCGTTCGGGTCACAGTTGAAGCGTCGTCGTTTAGGGCCGTGCTGCTTGTGCGGTCAGGAGGCGCGGTGGTAAACGTCGTCGTTTGGGGTTCGGTTTTTTTTCTTTCAAGCCGCGTACTGTGTTGGTCACAAATTTGCAAGTAACAATAGGCTTACCACCGCGCTGATATGGACGAGGGATTCTTGTATGAATTCACATAATGTTAGTCTTAGGCTCCGTTCGTTTGGCGGAAAATATTCTCCTTTTGGAAAATATTTTCCCGGAAGTTATTTTCCTGGAAAATGTTTTCCCGGAACATAATTTTCCGGTGTTCGGTGATCAATATGAAAAAGTTTCGGAAAATATTTTTCGCCGGCGGCGGCCGGCGACCGGCGGCGGGCGGCGATCGGCGACGGCGGGCGGCGACCGGCGGCGGCGGGCGGCGACCGGCGGCGGCGGCAGCCGGCGACCTTAGTGAAAAAGAAGAAGAAGAAGCTCCGGAAATTGATTTCCGCTTTTAAAGAAGCGAAAGTCATTTTCCATAGACTTAGGCTATTTTGTGAGAGGGGAAAGGAAAATATTTTCCCACGGAAAACGTTTTCCGCCCCCCGAACACCGGAAAACTCGGAAAATATTTTCCGGGAGAATATTTTCCGCCAAACGAACGGAGCCTTAGCTTAAAAGAAATGCTGTTATAATTTGAATCTACATTCGATTAATGATATTCTCAAAAAAAATATCAAACTTCCATAAAGAAAAGGGCCTAATACCCTGAAAGACTCCCCACTTTTTAGGTCCAGTCACAATTCTACCCTAAACTTTTTTTTATCTCATAAAAGAACTACTAATTTTTACTTGAGTCTCAAATTTGCCCCGTTAACCCTCCGTCCAAATTTTCTCTTGACAACTGAAAGATGGATAAGTCCAGAGTGTGAGCTCTACGAGCCAAGTGTATCAAGTGTAAGCTCTCCGACCTCGAGAGATGAAAGACTCCCGACCACAAGAGATTGAAGATTGAGCACAAAATCGAAGATCCCCGAGCAAGATGGAAAGAAAACTATCTTAAGAGTAAAAGAGTAATTGAAGAAAGCAAACCCTAATTGCTCTAGTATTTACCCATATTTCAAATCCAATAAGATATCGTTTGGGCCGGCATAGAAATTCATCTCCAAAAGATGTCGTTTGGGTTCGATTTTTTCTTCGAGCCGTGCGTATCGTGTTAAGTCGCAAATTTGCAAGTACGAGGCTCTCGCACGCTATATATGGAGGAGGGATTCTTGTATGAATTCACGTAACGCTAGTCTTTAGCTTAAAAGAAATGCTGCTATAATTTGAATATATATTCGATTAATGATATTCTAAAAAAAAACAAGGTCAAAATTCCATGAAAAAAAGGGTCTGATATCCTGAAAGACCCTCAACTTTAGGTTTAGTCTCAATTCTATCTTAAACTTTTTTTTGTCCCGTAAAAAATCCCCAATTTTAAGTCTAGTCACAATTCTACCATAAACTTTGTTTTGTCTCATAAAAAATCACCAACTTTTACTTGAGTCCTAATCTGCCCCCGTTAACCATTTGTCCAAAATTTGTCTTGACAATCGATAGATGGAAAACTCCCCGAGTGCCAGCTGTACGAGCGCCCCGAGCCGAGTGTCTCGAGCGTGAGCTCTCCAGTGGCAAGAGATGAAAGACTCCCGACCACTAGAGGTTAAAGACTAAGCACAAAATCGAAGATCCCCAAGCAAGATAGAGAAAGAAGACTATATTAATAGCAAGAGCAATTGAAGAAAGCCAACCCTAATTGCTCCAGTATTTACCCAAATTTCAAATCCAATAAAAAGTCAATTGTGCTGGCATAGAAATTCATCTCCAAAAGATGTATTCTTGGATATGAAATTTAGGAAAAAAAAACTAAAGCAATGACGTGGAAATTGATGTAGCTAGCAGGTATTACCTAGAGGGGGGTGAATAGGTGATTTGAGTGATTTTGAAGAATTTAAAGTAGAAACGATTTATAATAAGTAAAGTTTGAACAATGTTCAAATTTTGAATGTGCCAGTATGCAATGTAAACAATATAATGAGAGATTAGGGATAGAGAGAACTACACACAAGAAGTTATAGCAGTTCGGCTTAGATCAAGCCTACGTCCACTCTCTCACACTGACAGCTGACGGATTCCACTATATGATCAAAACGGATTACAAATTCTAAGTGTAAATACTTGGTGAATGATAGAACTCTCTATCTCACACAACCACTCTTACGTAATGTCCCTCAAAATCTCAGTATTTAACTCATGAAAGACAAGTAATAGAATTGGAATGTTCTCAGGCTTTGGACTTATTGATTCTCAATTTCGTTCGCTATCTTTTGCTCCTCATTAATCTCCTTTTATACTCCTCCATTTCCAAACTAGCCGTTTGACAGTCTTTAGAGAATCATCTTCCAATCTTCACCTTGGACATATTTGTATAAAATGGTTTGAGTAACTGTTGGCTGACAAAATCTGAATCCCACTAAATATAGTAGTCCATACAACCAGAATTTTGATTTTCATAAGTAGAGTTTTATCCGTTGTGATATATACTTGCCATAATGTTTGATTGTCAATCAATTAACCTTAGATTGAATCAATCAAAACTTTTCTTTTGTGAAATTCACGCCAGATCACTAGCAATTATGTTTCGTTCTGAGTAAATTCTGAGTCTGAAGAATTTCTGGTTCTTGCTTTACATTCAAAACTTAAGTCAGCGTAGGTCTTCAGTAAGGTCTGAATCTTTCAAAAGTGACACTTGAAGTTCTTCATTAGCTTGATATAAAGTCTTGAGTGACTTTTTAATAAAATCTGAACTTCTCGTTCCGAAACTCGTAGAGTCTAAAGTTTTCCTTCCGAACCTCGTAAAATCTGAACATCCAGAAAGTTAAGTTCTCTTGAAGTATTAAAGTTACAAATTCCAGAATATATTTACCTGGATCAAAATACTTTAGAGTACATATCAGATTTACAATATTGATATAGAGAGTTTTGTCAACTTCAAAATCTATTAGGAAATTTCCTCAACAGAAATGCCATGCCACTAAAGATGATTTTGGATGGCGGATTAACTAGACAAAAATGAGACTAAAGTTGAAGTTGGTCGTTTTTTATGAAACAAATAAAAGTTCAGGAGAGAATTGAGACTAAATCTAAAATTAGTGGGTTTTTTTTAGACAAAAGAAAGTTGAGGATAGAATTGAGATTCAACCAAAAGTTTTGGGGTTTTTATGAGACGGAAAAAAGTTCAGAATAAAATTGAGACTGGAATTAAAGTGGAGAATTTTTTAGAGTATTAGGCTTGAAGAGAAGTGACTAAAATTCTTTGAGAAAAGAATTTTCCAACGCCGTTAGTGTAAATTCAAATAAAAAGTAAGTTCAAAATATAAAGTCATATCGTTAGAAGTAACTTTTCACTGCAGTAAAAAAAAATTCACACTAGAGTTGTCGAGTAGTATATGTTCATCGGTAGCAGGTAACATTTCTATGCATCGAGTTACGTCAAATATCAAATGACAGATCATTTTCAAACTCTCAATGGTCAATAATCTTTCATTTGAATTTGATCATCCAAAATGTTCACTTCTGATGGCAGCTGCAGCAGAGAATTAACCCTCAGCTGTTGGCAGTCAGTCGTGATATTCAATTTCCATCGACCTGTAACTTGTCAAGGCACTTGTCCTCAACATATCCACTTGCAGAAATCCTCAAGTATGTCAAAATTGAACCACAACACGACAGACTACATTTGTCTAGAGAACACAATGAGCACTTTGTGCGGGATATTGTGGAAGATCTTGGTTAATCAGAATGTTGAGAGATGATACAACTTGTTTGTTGATTCGATGGTTGAGAGTATGATCCATTCAGCTCAAATTGAATCATTTTGGTCTGACAACCGGTGTCACCCATGACGACACAAACGTGCACCTCAACAGCATGGTATAAGAAGAATAGCCATATTGCGACAACTTGGCGATTGCTATCTTGAAAAGATCCAGCCTTTACGGAGGAAGAATAGCCATATTGCAACAAGTTGGCGCGATCGAAGTCATCTGATATATCTTTTGAAGCCATATTGCTTGATTGGTGGTAATAGCAGCTGCAACGTTCTCACATTCTACGTAGACTGTGCTATTGAATCTCACTTCTTACAATTCTTTTGGAAGCTCCAAAGTGAATTTGACTTTCAAATTGCTACCGAGTCTCGCTCCTTGGAATTCTTTTGGAAGCTCCAAAGTAAATTTGACTTTCACTCAACATGAAGTAAGAGGATGGACCGGTTGCATCAATGATGTATGGTCGTCTAGCTATGAAATGTAACAAACTTCCAATAAGCTTTTACTCTCTTGCAATTGTTCATCTTGAATTTCTTAACGTGGTTATTCACATATTTCTGCAAGATGAAAGCGCCTTTATTTTGATATATCTCGATGCCAAGGAAGTAGCACGTCAAAGCCCAAGTCCTTCATTTTGATATATCTTCTCATGACAGCCAGGTACAGTATATGAAAGGGAATTGTACCAAAATAGTCCTGCTTTTTGGTTGGGATGCTCATATGAAATGAATAATGGGAAACGATATCATATGTAGGAAATGAAGGTCAAAGTAAGTTCAAGTATTTAAATTCTTAAAAAAACAGAATCAGAAATGCAGATTCAATCAGTTTGGTTCATATGACCGGTATACGTGTAGCAACTCAGTTTCCAGATCTGCTAAACAGTCTCAGGAAAACCATACAACTTCAAAGGTTTATCTGTCTGCCAGGGAGCAAGAGCTATGCATCCAAGACCAAATTTCACGAGATAGCAAGATATATGAACATCCTAAATCACCTTAGAACCGCCATGATTCTGGGGGGGCTAAAGGATTATCGCTTCCTAAATTGCCAAGCATTAGGTACATCCAGTCAAGAATTCCCTGTGTAGGACAGAAACATGTAATCTTCGATGACCTGAAAGAAAATTAAAAAAGAAAAAAGAATCAGTCTCAGGGAACTATTTCTGCATGCAATATAAGTCTAAAAAACTCAACCACGGTCAGGCTCAGGTATAACAATTGATAATGAAACAGCAGAAGCATCTATCCCTATCCTGAACTTCTAAATGCCTAGTCTCAACTACCAAACTACTACTGTATGACTAACCCTAGTGGATTAGCTGGGTGACAACACTGGACTCCCCCTTTGATATCAATTACTAAACTAAAGAAAGTAAATAGGAAAAAAAGAGACATTAACACAAACATATTCTATTGTAATTGATAGCGCCTTCTTCAGTATCACTGGAAATGGTTGCAATCCCCAATTGTTTCCTAGAACAATGTGCTGTTCAGGACATGGTGCTAAAATTGTCTGACAGTAACATTCATCTGACTAAGAAAATAAAGCTAACAATGTTAGAGGAAATGCAAGAAATGAGGGAATTCATACCGACCTCCTATATATAAAACTGACAAGGAAGTCCATCATCAATCCATGTCACCAAATCTTCAACTCTAAACCGCCATTTTCATTTCCAGTTTATCATGAGGGTCATATCCGATAAGTTTGATATCAGCTGCCACAAAAGAGTCTATATCCTTCCTCTCTGGGTTTATCTTTAAAATCTGTACATGTGGACAAGACTTTTAGTGAGTACAGCAAAAGATAAGTTGGGTCAGACCAATGGAATGAAATCGAAGTCACCATCCTGCATTTTTACTGCATATTACTCACTGGAAAGGGCTTGGGTGCTTTCTGAAGTTGTTCATGCAGAGGTCTAACATGGTTACGATATGCATGAGCATCCCCAATAACATGGACAAAATCACCAGGAGAAAGATCTGCAGAAAAAAAAACTTAAGATAAGTACTAGTTCCCATGTTTATATCCTCCTAACAAGAGGATACTTTTCACCCTTAAGGCTGGGAAATCAAGCTAGTAATCATCTAGCAACCACCAGAGTTAAAATATTATAGCAGTAATCCTAATTATGCAACTCCTACAGAAGCATAAATCTTGTCCAACCAGTATCCTATAAGAAGCATTAGAAAGGCATCTGTGAGTCACTTTTCCCCACACCAGCAGTGACAGTATTCCAAAACTCTGTTGATTAATACTTGTCAACAAGCATTACAAATGATAAATCACATACCACAAATATTGTGACGTATTATCTAAAGCATGCATACATACCACAAACATGAGCAATCATGCATGTAAGGAGAGCATAAGAAGCAATGTTGAATGGCACTCCCAATCCCATGTCAGCAGAGCGCTGATACATTTGACACGATAATTCCCCATTTGCAACATAGAACTGCAAACGTAAAAATTAGGTTAATGAAACAAAGGAAGAAGATAAAACAGCGAATTCAGGAAAATGAAGCCAAACATATCCAACCTGCGCAAACATGTGGCAAGGTGGAAGTGCCATCAATTTTAAATCAGAAGGATTCCAAGCAGAGAGTATAATTCGACGATCGTCTGGATTACTCTTGATCTTGTAAATAACATCCAACAACTGATCAAATCCTTCACCAGTATAGTCAGCATGCATATTACTATACCTGTGAAATACAACATATAATGTCATTAAACATATATTGCAGCAACAAAAAGTGGTCAAAAAATATGAAACAAGCCAACCTAGCACCAAAATGCCGCCACTGAAAGCCATAAACTGGTCCCAAGTCACCTTCTTCTCGATCTTTCAGACCAAGTCTAAATAGACAGGACAAATGTCAGAAAGGTAAAGAAAAAAATAACCATATGTATTTCATTCTCATGAATCAGATGCGAACCTATCAAGGTAGTCCCTAGATGCATTGCCATCCCATATATGAATGCCTTTTTCCTGAAGAATCTGTTGGGAAAAGGAAATTTTCAGATTAATCTTACAATGTCATCCCAACATTAGACAGTCAAAGTAAAGGCAAAAGCATTCAACCAGAAGACCTTCCAAGGGATTGATGTGCAGGAAACCAATTACATGTTACAATTCAAAGCAAAGGTAATTAAGTCCCTCTGGAGTTATCATATCAATTCACTTTCACAAAAGTGTCGCTTTAGATCCCTATCTTGCAACTTCAGCAACCATTTGTATTCACTTCAAGTATAACAATGTCCCCACTCAACTTCATGGAGTCATCATTCCATCAAAGAAAAACATCAAGGGCCTAGTTATTATTAGGAAGAGTAATCGATATGCTTGTTAATGCATTATTGCCTCTCAAAACAGATATTTCACATCCTCAAGCTTGTTCTTCCTTCTTAGGTGATATTTTGTAGCAAATTATAAACATGACTGCAGCTCCATCTTATAGTTTCAAACGATACATTCACCATTCCTCAACAAATGGTCCTTATTTGTCACTAACAAGCCTGTTGTCCTATTGGACATGATATAAGTTTCTGTATGTCCTGGCAAATATAATCAGTTTTTATGGTCAGCTAAGTCAACATTCCTGCAGGTAGTCTTCATGATCTAATTTTGGAAGTGGACATGCTTGCTTCAAATTTAATCTAAGTGCAAGATGCAAACTTGATAAGCATGGTTTCAAATAGATGATATCTTTATGGAGGATAGATGGCAAAATATATTAACATAATTGAAAAGACCAAAAAGTGTAATGGTAGCCGAAATATAAGCAGTCACATTTTACGGTATTACTGGCAATTACTTCACACCAAAACTAAGCCATACACTTCTACAGAATGTGGTGGAAAACCTACACACCAGTAAAGGGCTGCAAAAGCTCATAATATCGAAGTGTTTCAAAATTTGCCTAGCAAATTAGGACTGCTTTGCTAGAACTAAAGAACAAGTAGAATATATCTAGCAAAGCATATGACTAAGAAAAATTAGTAGGATGAGATTGTTTAATGGCCAGCCTACAAGTCGCTTCCAATTGATTAATCAAGTGGAGAAGAGGAGATACTAGTACTGCAGACAAAGTTGTTGGACCAATCCTGTCCAGCAATTTTCTTAAAACATAAAGGCTTACAATGCAATATCCTATTTTTCAAAGTGGAAGTGCAAAGAATAGTTTAGTACTCAAGGATGCCGTCTTGCAATTCACTTTTGCCCTCGATTAAGGCCCCGTTTGGTTCAGCTTTGGGAAGGGGCTTTCGGCCTCGAAAGCCCTTTCCCAAAATGCTGAACCGTTTGGTTCGGCTTTCCGAGTCCGGAAAGCCAAAAGCCAGCATTTGGAATGCCGTTGGAATGCCAAAAGCCCAAAGCTGGTCCGAACCAGCTTTGGGCTTTCAGCATTCCACAAATGCTGAAGCTTATTTTTCTCTTCCCAAATTGCCCTCACTCAAATTTCAATTTTCCGGTTTTGCCCTGTTACTGTTCATCTTCTTCACTGTGAGGGTGGCCGGCAAGGGTGGCCGGCGAAGGGCCGGCGAGGGCGGCCAACGAAGGGCCGGCGAGGGCGGATCTGGCTGGGGATGGGCCGGCGAGGTCGCCTGACCCAGGCGACGGCCGCCTGGGGTTGGGTGACCGCCCAGGCGCCGTCGCCTGGGTTGGCGGTCGCCTGGAGTCGCGCGACCCAGGCGACCGCCGCCTGGGTCAGGCGACCTCGCCGGCCATATCCGCCCTCGCTGGCCCTTCGCCGGCCACCCTCACGGTGAGGAAGATGAACAGTAATATGGGCAAAACCGGAATATTAAGAATAAAAATTGCCAAAGCCCTTTGCAAAAAAAAATTTACCAAACACTACTTAGGCCAAAGTAGCTTCACAAATTTTTTTTTACCAAACACCACTTGCATTTCCCCAAGTGGCTTTCACCTAAAGGTATTTACATTCCCCCAAGTTGCATTTGAAAAGCCAAACCAAACAGGCCCTTAGGATGACTGACAGACTAAGGCATCAACTAGTAACAGTTAACAGAAAAGCAACAGTTCATTTACTTTATAGCTTGTATAGAGTTCAATACTGTGGATGAATGACCAGTGTTAGTTCACAAAATGCAAGCTCTACAGAAAAAAAAAAAAACTTGGTCATCACCTTGGCATTTGTAGAACCACTTATGAACCACAAAAGTTCTTCAACAACTCCACGCCAAAATACTTTCTAAGAACCAATCAGTAACAATATCTCAGTCACCAGAGTTTAAAATAAAAGCCTTGCACTTGTCATAAATGATTTTACAAGAAGAATATAATGAAGAGGTAGAACAATTTGGAGCAGCAGACCTTAGTTGTCAAAAGAGGGAAGTTTTTGCGCAGATTAAACCGCATCTGCAAAAAAGAAAATAAACAGAGTGATCCTAGTGATAAAGGAGATGTACTGGATAGAATTTAACAGCTGAGTAGATAGTAATGGTTTACAAAACACACCTGACATCCAAACTTTGATATGGTACCAGTTCCAGTCCTGTCATCCTTTGGAGTGCCATTTAACAGTATATCTTCGACTAATCTCAGATACAGGTACTCTTCATGTCTCTCAAAAATCATGTTGGGCAGAAAGGTAAAATTCTTGGCCTCAAACTTAACAGAATCTGCCTTACCATTGAAGATCAGAGCATCTGTCTGAGGCAGAGACTCCAACGCAGAACATCTTACACGGACATAAGTAGTAAAACAATATCGGATGTTGTTTTCAACAGCGGGAAAAGACGAGTACCATGGGTGAAAGACAGATGTATCAACCATGGGCATAAAAGTGTCACATTCAACTGGTGTCTCAATTTCAGTTATGTGGATGGCATCACATGCGGGAGCATTGAGAGCTTCCCTGCACCAAGAGAGAAGAATTACGAGGAGGAAGAGAAGTACCCATATGCAATTGTAATTATGAGTAAATGTTAAGATACCTAAATATCTGGCCACCGCCAATGACAAAAACTTTCTCAATTGATAGACAATAAGGAGATGAAGCCAATAAATCCAAGGCAGAACACATGCTTCCACATATGATGACATTCTCCGCAGTTGCAATATCGAAGCTCCCCGAACGAGTGAGAACAACATTGAGGCGGCCAGGTAGAGGCCTATGCTCGGTAGGAATACTTTCCCATGTTTTTCTACCCATTATGACTGCATTCTTTTTCCCAGGATCGATTGTTGTACGAGTAATGCTCTTAAAATATTTGAGATCAGAGGGAAGCCTCCAGGGAAGTTTTCCATCCTTGCCAATGCCCATATCTCGAGTTGCAGCCACAACAACTTGATAAGTCCTTTGTGGATCAGGTGGAGTTCCATTGCAGTTGCCATTGGGAAGGGTCACTGAGAATTCACCGGCCATTACAAAACTCAAAGGCTGAAAACAACCAAAAGACAGCGGACTGCAGAACCAACTTCTTTGGAAGTGCGGCAGAACCTGAAAATCGATGAGAAAGAAGATAGATCCCATAGCATTAGTACTGCAGATATATACAACACCAGTTGAGGAGTCATATCTTTTCTCGAAAGAATAGTTGAAAGCCTGAAAAGCGGAAAGGTATAGCAGTAACACAAGCACCCCAGCAATCGGTAACACTAAAAGCTGAAAAATATGCCCCCAGATCATTATCTCAGAAAAAAGTGGTGCGCATTTATGAATAAGATAAACCAACCAAGCTGGACAAATCATCAAACACAGAAAGCCTCCTAGCTAAGCCGGATTTCTCCTGCACCACTAGCACTTAACTTGACATAATAGTGGAAAAATCAAAATCCTAGTCCCTCTCTTTTGGCATCACATTAAAGCAGTATGTGAAGCATAAGATTCATGTCTCAACTTTCAGGCAAAAGTATCTGAATCGAACAATTCCCATTTCCACAAATCCCAATAGCAAGAACAAAATTTTTAGAGAGCAGAATGCAGCACAAAAGAGAAAGGAGAAACATCATAAACGGGAGCTTTCTCCAATTTTTTTGGATAATCACAATCCATTATTGCTCAAAGCAAGAAGGGGGACACTTAATTCATACAGCAAGCCCACTTCAACATTTTAGAAATTCAAGAATGAATCAAGAAATTCACACAGATCTTACCATGAAACTCACCGTGAGTATACCTAGTCATTACTTCCCCCCTCCCAGAACAAACATCAAACATGATTTACATAAACAATCGAACTTAAAAACCCCGCATTTAGACACACAATCAAGACAGAACAACAGTCTAAAGTGAAAATGAAAGCAAATTTCGCCAAAGAAAAACAAAAATTGCTAACTAACATAAACCCAGAAAAAATCCAAAAAGCAGAGCGAAATGCTCACCGATCTGGACGCCAACCGCAAAATTTTGAACCACAGCGAAACTAAAACGCGCAGGAGCGACCTCAACCGGGTTTCACTACCAAGAAACGAGCAGAAAAGTTAGGGCTTTCCTCCCCTTTCAGAGCGTCATTCATCGGGTGACAACAGACAAGACACTGGATACAAATACGAAAGACAGGAAAACCCAGCAGTGAAAACAAGAACGGACTGTGAACGACGGAGTCGAACTCACATCTCTCTCGTTTCCCCCTCGCCAACGACCCAACCCAAGAAAGTCGAAGCACTAAAACCCGATCGACCCAACTCGCCGAAAAAATCAGTACCCAGAAAGGCTCCCGAAAATGGGTCGCGGGTCGTCGGAAGTGGGGTTCTCCCGGCGGATCCGACGAAGAACAGGAACAAGAACAAGAAGAGGCGAAGCCAAACCCTACTCCGGCGCAGGAAAGAAGGGAAGAGAGGGAGAGAAGAACCCCACGTTTTGCGTCGAAGGGTCTCTCTTTTCTTGTTTCAAAGATGTTAAAGATTTGTCAATCGCGTCAATGCGCGGTGAATGTGTGCGTGAGAAGCGACAACGACGACAACAACAAGAGAGCTTTAATGGGAGGGGGAGTGCGCGCAAACCTGCGGACGAAACCGCTTCCTCGCTCGCTTTTGGAGTCGAAACTCTCTCTCTCTCTCTCTCTCTCTCTCTCTCTCGCAGCGTCACTTCAGAGGGTCGCAGTCATCGTCGTCTTCAAGAGGGAGTGGGAGAAAGAGAATGGCGGATTGCTGGGAAAATTCCAAAAGCAGGGTAGACGCGGAGTGCCGCCAAAGCGAGAACGAGCCCGAATTGTTTAATTTTATCCATCCATTCTGCGCTCTACCTAGTACAACACGACAAAATGTGTCGTTGAAGAATAAGGAGATATTTGCTGAACTCGTCCTCGTACTGTTGTTTAATTTCGGTTTTGGCCCGTGTTTTGGGTTTTTTTGCATTTTTAGTCCTCCTCCAGCCTATCTCCGGCGGGGATATAAAGGAGGCAGCGAACCGACGGGTGACGACTGCGTGTGCGAGCTTCTTCGGAAAAGATTATATACCTTTTAGTCCTCGTACTTCTGAGGACGTTCGAGTTCGGTTCTTGTGCATTGTTTTTAGGGTTATTGTAAAGAAAAATTTCAAACCGGTATAATTATGATAAATTTACTTCAACATAAGTTTTTTACCATAAAAAACCCTAAATTGATATATTTGTGATAAACTTACCCTTTATTAGTTTTCGTTAAATTTTATTGTCAAATTACTGAGTTTGATGACACGTGGTTATTGACGAGTGTCTTGGTGTGGGGTTTTACCCTCCGTTTGTCATAGGTGTACCGATTTGTGATTTTTCGTGGTATTAATCTAATTTAACGAAAACTAATGAATGGTGAATTTGTCACAAATGTACCAATTTAGAGTTTTTAGTGATCAAGAAATTAGTTTTGAGTAAAATTGTTACAAGTGTACCAGTTTGGGGTTTTTTGTGGTTAAAAAATTAGTTTGTGGTAAATTTGTCACAAATGTACTAGTTTAGGATTTTTTGTATTATTAACCCTTGTTTTCAGTGACAAATGTTTCTAACAAAAATTTAGTTTCTCTGGTTGCGTCTCCATCGGAAGTTTTATGAAAATGTCAGTTGAGACCAATTAATAATTAGTGATCCCTTCGTTTTCAAGCGTGCACATTCTAACCGGGTCTTATTGGAATTAATTACATTATATGCTACAAAGACATATTTTAAGTATACGTCCATATAGAAAAATATGGAGGACTATTTGCAGAGTTAAAAAAAGTAGATATTACATTGGCAAAATCTTTTCGACAGTTTATACGGCAACTTCAATTATAGTATTATCAACAAGGTCGCATCATTTTGATTGTGAAGACTTGTAGACGTTATGGGAAGGCTATTAGTATCGAGTGTAGTTATTACTAATAAACCCATAAATAATAGATGCACGCACCTATACAATCTCATTTGGAATGACATATGAAAAACCATACTCAAAATCTTATCAATTAATGGTACAAAGAACATGCCCCAAGCAAATGGTACTAGGACCAACATACTTGCGAAAATAATATATAGAGACCAAATTTGAACATTCATCAAAGGACGAGAAATAAAAGTGTAATTTTTATAAGCTGGCATGCATAGAAGCCACGTGTCAATTTGTTAGAGCTGATTCAGCATATTCCATCCACATTTGTATTCAAAAATTAAATTGCCACCAGAGATGTTAGGGGATTAAATGTGCACAATGTGTACTACTGGATCTAAAACTAAATTCAGGTAATAGTTACGAGGATAAATTTTGTAATTTTCCCTAAAAAAAAAAGAGATAAGTGCACTCTAAGTCTTAAAACTTGTCACGAAATTACAATTAAATTCTAAAACTTTCAAAAAGTGCAATCGAGTTCTAGTTTGTCACCAAACTGCAATCAAGTCCTAAAACTTGTTACGAAAGTGCAATTGAGTCCTAAAATTTTCAAAAAATATAATCAACGGAAGGACTTCATTGAATCAATTTGACAAGTTTTAGGACTTGATTTTGATTATATTTTTTAAAAATTTTAGGACTCAATTGCACTTTCGTAATAAGTTTTAGGACTCAAATGCACTTTTTAAAAATTTTATGACTCAATTGTACTTCGTAACAAGTTTTAAGACTTCTAATGCACATATCCCTATAAAAAAACTAGCCCTCACCGTAAGCACAACGCAGGTGCACGGTTGCCTTTTATTTCGTTTGCACATGTGCCATTTCTTTAGTGTCGATTTGCTCGAGTGAACGTATGGAGGTCACGACAGTAAAGGTCGGAGGCTTGAAAACGTCAATTACAGACAATACTGGATATATGTTGCATGACGTGAGATCCATACGAGAAATGTGCGTGAAATTTGTGAAAACTTCACTCTTTTAACGATGAATGGAAGAATTTGACCAAACTAAGGCTCCGTTCGTTTCGCGAAATATATTTTCCTGAAAAATATTTTTCATAATTTCCGATGTTCGAGGGGCGAAAATTGAGTGGTCAAAGAAAACATTTTCTGGTCAATGGATCATATCCTTTTAAAACTGAGGAAAATGATTCCCTTTCGTGAAGGAAAGGGAATCATTTTCCAATCTCCCCTCTCACGTGTCCTCTCCTCCTCTCTCTCCTTTTCCCCATCGTTCTCACGCGATTTTCATCTCCAGAGCCACTCCTCCTCTGCTGCTGCCTTGCGCATCCTCTCGTCCCACGGCAGGCGAGCATGAGCAAGGCCGAGCCTAGCCTCGCCTCGCCAGATCCGGCGATGCTCAGCGGAGCTCGAGACTAGCGAGGCGAGGCGAGGCCTGGCTCGCCCAAGGCCGGCGAGGCAAGGCTCAGCCTCGCTCGCCCAAGACCGACGAGCTCGAGCAACGCTGAGCCTAACCTCACCTCCCCAGATTCGGCAATGCTCGGCCAAGCTTGAGACTGGCGAGGCGAGGCCGACCCTTGCCAGATCTAGCGAGGCTAGGCTCGGCCTTACTTGAGCTCGCCAACCTCAGGTGAGCTAGGGCGAGCTAGGCCGAGCCTTGCCTCGCCAGATCTAGCGATGCTCGGTTGAGCTCGAGACCGCCGAGCAAGGCCGAGCCTCGCCTGTGACCGATCGCCAGCCATCGCCGTGGGCGGCGACCGGCAGAGGAAGAAAGAAAGGGAAATAAAAAAGAGAAAAAAAGAAAAGAAATATTAAAATACAAAATAAAAAATTTATTAAAAGTAGTGTACGAAGGAAAATATTTTCCATACCAAATGACAGAAAAATATTTTCCGAAACTTTTTCAGATTTCAGCCGAACACCTTTAAATTGTGTCGTTTTCTAGGAAAATAGCTTTTTGAAAAACATTTTCCAAAAACGTAACATTTTCCGCGAAACAAACGGAGCTTATGAAAAAAACAATGAATGGAAGAATGAGAAAGAAATAAAACAAGGGTAATCAAAGACAAATGGGATTTTTTTTGTTTAAATTGGGATTGTTTACATAAAAAAATATTAACTTTTTGTCATTATTGACAAGTGATAGACTTAGTCGATGAGAGCAAAGTTTCGTCAACAGCAAAAATCATTGATGAACTAAACAATCAAGAAGAGCATTGACAACTCGCCAGTGAAGTCATGAACAACACAAAGTGAAAGTTATAAAACCTTTAAGACTTAAAAAACCGATTGATAAAGTCATCAACAATGAGCAATCAACATAAAAACATAACCGCTGGGTGGTTATATTTATTGCTGCTATTATAGGGTTTTTATAACTTCTTATGGATAGATGTTGTAGATAATAAGAGTTAGTTTACTTGAATTCCAAAGTTGCAACTGTCGATTAAAGGCTAAAGCCTACATCATACTCTTTCAAGAGCCCCAAACAATCAAACTCGACTTTCTTGCAATTTATCTTTATCTTTACTTTTCTACAATTTATCTTTTTCGCAATTTAATTATCTTTCAATTCTCGTACTTTAATTGTAATTTCAAATATCTCGTCATCGATTAAACTCTGGTATGTATCTTAGATTTAGTTTTCAGATCTTCGGTGTCAATTAAGTTGGCATTGTATCTCTATATCATCTCATTTTGTTCTTGATAAAATTCTGGCGAAGTGTTTTGTATTTTGTCATCAATTAAATGTTGACGAAGCATACTTTTTCCTTGTGATTCAGTGAGATTCTGCCTGGAATCATAACAAAATCTCTCTTCTTAATAAAAATTGAAAAATGAATTTCGGTGAAAGATATTTCGTTGATGAACCAATTTTAGCGATTCAGGGATAAATTTTCCTTACCAATGCTGCTGCTTCTTCTTCTTTATGAACTTTTGATTTTGAGATGCATCGCTATCGAACAGACCCCTTTTCTGAAAGTTCAAAGTGGTGATCATTTTGCTAGTCCGGATTCGTGCCGCTCATATGTCTTTTGCAATAGAAAGTTTTAAGTAGATGACAATGCCTTTTGAATTAAGGTCAGATGACAGTGTCGCTGACGTGGCTTTTGAATAAGGTTAGATGATAATGTGACTTTCGAGTGTTGAAGAATGTGGGATGGTAGTGGGTTGTTGGTGAAAGCATGAATCCTTGGAGGAAAAATGTCAGTATTTTTTATTTTACATTTATAGGGTGTATTTATTTCGATGAAAGAATTTTCGCGAATTAATTTTTTGGATTTTCACGTATTTGGGTTATTGAAATGATCAGTAAACATAAAAGGAAAATATGCATGCTTAAGTTAGAGAAATGAATTCCCTAACTTGAAAATGGAAAAATATCTTCCTGAAAATACTTTTTTGAAAAAGGATTTTCCTTTGTCATGATTTTTCCCGAAATAAACACATTTTTGTTTATTTCGTAGAAAATGAATGATTAAAAAAATATTTTTCTAACAATGATCGTTTGTACCGCTTTAAATAATTATATAATTATCGGCAATAAGTTATGTCTAAATATTTTCGTGGACGATGAAAATATTTTTCATTCAATCTTTTAAGAAAATATTTTTCAAAAAATATATTTTCCTTGAAACAAATGCACCGTAGACTTCTTCTTGAACTTGGAATTAGGTGTATAATTCAAAGAA